CCTTTGTTCCCAGGATCAAATCTTTGCTCATTAGCATGGCATTCAAGGTTCTGCCTGACCTTGCATTACTGTAAAATCCAGGAGAGGAGAGAATAAGAACTTTGTGGAGAAGCGGAGGACACTGGGGGACAATTTGCTTACAATTTTAAAAAAATATAAAAGGGAATATTGTTTTAGAACTCATTTTCAGGGCTTCTATTTACATATGGGGTGTATTCCAAAAAATCCCTATGTTTCAGGGCTATGGGTGGGCTGAATATTGCTGGTATAGGCAGTGAGTCCCACACTTGTGAATTTCATTGGCAAGTAGATTTCCTTCTTTTTTCTTTTCTTTTCTTTTTTTTTTTTTTTTTACATTTGGAGATGGGTAAAGTTGCCAATTTTCTATTTTGCAAAGTAAGCACATTGTACAAAACACTACCATGTTTTCATGAAATAAAGGACTTTTGTATACTAAAAAAAGCCCATGATTTCAGAATAAAGGTCAATACTCTAGCTTTATGGGTGGGGGGGAACTTGCCACAACCACCTCATTTTTCTTATTTCGCCTGGGACTGGTAAAGACCTGCTGATGTCTGATGTCAGGCATTTGGGAAACTTTTGTAGCCCTTGGTGTTCCTATTCCCCTTGGTTAGCTGTTCAAATTCCCCTTGATATGTACAGTCTTTGTGTCTTAATTGGCCTGCAGAGTGGGCAGCGAGGTGGGAGGTGGGAGTGTTGCTCCCTTTCCCACCCCTATCGTGGAGGGGCCCACACACTAGTTTGCTTAAGAGGGATTAGAGCCCAAGGCTGTGGGAAGAGAGAGGAAGCAAATGGAAAAGCTGTTGAAGCCAGGAGCACAAGCTGAGCAGCTTTGGGTCCCAGGGCCCTTTGTCGCTGCCCCTGCCCTGACGTGGACTCCCTCTCCACTCTGGGGCACCAAGGATCAAATGGGAGGGGAGGTTAGCAGGAAATGGCACTCGTGACAGGGACAGTTCTGCTTTCCAAATGGGTTCCTTCCACAATGGTGGGGATAGTGGCAAGGCCTTTCCAGTGCCCTGGTGGGCAGATGCCACTTTGTGCGGCTGATTTGGGGCATGGATAAAGGAGGTCCCCTTGGAGAACTTTGCAAGGAGGGGCCTGTGGCACTTGGGAGCAAGACAGGAACTCTGCACTAGTGATAGTGATAGTGAGATAATAGCTGTTTTGGAATTTAGAACACATCTTCCCAAGGCTATGGTGTGTAATGAGGGTGTAGGGCAGAACTTTGGGCAGGGATGGAATGCCAGACCCCTCAGAAGTCTACTTAACTCATGTTAGTGGAAGTCCTCCCAGCTTCGTCTGTGCTTCTCTTGTACTCCCAGACTCACCTGGTGGCCATTTGTCTACAGCATACTTCTCTGCCAGTGTCAGAACTGAGGAAAGCAGGGCTTCTTAGGGGAGGAGCTTGTCAGGTCAAATGGTTTTACAACTGGTGACAGGATATGAGAAGTTCAGGAAGGTGTAAGTAGTAGCAAGAAGGTGGAGACAAGGTGATATGGGCCAGGAGTCACCCCCAGCTCCCATGTGCAGGGGCAGTGGGGAGTGTATGTGTATATATCCATGGGAGGCACAGAATCACAGTTTCTAAGTGTAGAATTTCCTGTTTGCAAATAAATTTCATGTTCAATTCCAATTCAGCAGGTACCATACCAATTCGCCACTATCTGACTGAGATTACCAAGTTTTAGGCCAGTCCTCAGCCTGGCAAGCTCAGGGCCTAGATGTCATAGGCCCTTTCAGACTCACACTAACCTAATTTATATGAGTCTGAGAGATTGGCCAGGCCCCAGATGAGTCACTTTACATAAAGAGAGTTGTCTGGTAGGATAACTGAGCTCAGACATTTGCAGTATTTTGATTAATTACATTTTTTGGAGGATCTCTTGGCCCATGGTAAACATTACCCTTTTCTATTGGTTCTTATTCCTGTGTCGTCCTGTGTTCTGGTAGAGCACACTCTAGGTCTTGCATCATCACCTGTTAATATTCATCCTTGCCAGACTTCAACTTGCTAGAATAGGGCTCAGCAAACTTTCTCTGTAAATGGCTATGCAGTAACTATTTTAGGCATTGGGGGCTCTGTGATCTCTGTCACAACAACTCAACTCTGCTGTGGTAGCACAGAAATAGCCATCTACAATACAGACATGAACGGGTGTGGCTGTGTGCTCACGAACTTCATGAACCCTGACATTTGCACTTCCCATAACTTTTCCATGTGGCAACATTATCTTTTGTTTTTTTTCAATCCTTTAAAAATGCAAAAACTACTCTTAGTTTGCAGGCCATACAAACAGACAGGTGTGGTGGATTTGGCCAGTGGCCTGTAGTGTGCCAACTACCCCTGAGTTAGAAGATAGTTTTACTGTGCATTATGCCATGGCCAGTATTCTGCTAGTGGGAGTTAGGTGTTTGCACTACACGTAATGTACCAGTTAGGGTTCCCAGTGGGTGTGACAGTCCAGGGCATGTTGACTGAGATGGCCTCAACTCAGGGGCTGCATTTTCCTTACCTCCTCATGTAGGCCACCCACTTTCCACCATGTGTCGATCTTAGCACAACCTTATTGAATCCAGCCAGGATTTCAACCATCTGACTCTAAAGCACATGGTCTTAGTCATTCCCCCACTGGGCTTCCTAGTGTTCCCTTGTGCCCTTTGACACTATGGGACTGGAGTTGATTAACTCCCCAATCCCAAGGAACCTCCATTTGGCTCCTTTTTCCTCATTAGTCATTGAGGCCATGCATGAAGTGGTGAGGAATAAAAAATAAGGGTAAAATGCCTAGAATATGTCATGTATATATTTAGTATATGTTCAATAATTACTAGCTATTTCTATCCACCCTCCGGCTAGTTAGTGTCACAGAATTAGTAAACACTGCCCTGGAAATCCAAACAGTCACTTACTCCTTATATGTTTTTTATTTTTCCAGCCCCAGGATTCAGAGTAATGGATGGAAGTCATAGGTTCCATCTCAAGTAGAGCACGCTTGTGCTCTACTATGGCTCAGACAGTGGTGGGTGGTACTGGTGGGGGTGTTTCTGGAGCAGTAGGCCTGGTGGGTGACACAGGAAGCCTGTGAAGGGACATGGGTGGGCGGGGGGAGATGGTAGTAGCTGCCTTTTAAGGAGGATGTGGCTTAGGGCAGCCCATGTCAAATAATGATGGGGACAGGCTCCCTAGAAAGCAGTGCTTTCTCTTTGTCCCCTGTCCTCAAAAGCTGGCTGCAACTAGAGCCCTTCTGTTTGTTTGGGTTTTTTGTTGTTGTTGTTGTTTTGTTTAGGACATTCTTTTCCAAATTGTCTCTCTAGATTGATTTATTAGCACAACAAGCTTTTAGTTAAACAAGATAATTTTGGGAGCAAGGGAAGTAGGATTTTCAGATTACATGTACCATACCAATGAAAATTCAAAAAGACAGCCAGGACAGAAGGTATGGCAATAGAGTATTGTCATGATTTAAGTTTGTCAAGTAAAGACGTGAAAACACACATACACACACACACCCTAACATCTACTACAATTAGCACTTCAAAAAAGAAAAGGCATTTTAATATAATAAAATGGATAGTTCTTTATAAGAAATAAGATTTGGCAAACATACCACATGTGCGCGCACACACATATAGATGATCATATGTGAATATTGTTCTTATTTTTTCTCATTTTTCCATGGGTTTGTTAGGACTTAATCTTGAACAACACTTGTCAGTATACGTTTATTCTGAAAGCAAAGGGTTTGGTAATGCCTAAGTTTCCTTGGGATGTAAGATTCTACAATTCAATGAGTTATCCTAACATCATATCATCCTCCTTCTAGTACTCCTCATGAAGACCTTGTGCGGGAGAGTCATGAAATACAGAACTACAACACGCAGACACACAGAAGTAAAAAATAAAAACCATGGAGCCCTTCTTGAGGGCGTTCACATCAAAGGCTGCAAAGGGCATTCTGCTGTTCACGGTAGGGTCGGAATCTGATTTTGCCCGATCCTGGAGATGGACTCCGTTTGCGGGTGTTCATGGAAAAGGACTGCAGCACGTTTGTCTATCAGTGAACACGTTTACAGATCGACTCCGCAGATGTGAACTTGTGCTCTCAGCACATTCATTAAAGCCTTGGGAGAACTGACCCTGTGCCTCATCCTTCGTCCCCTGGGCCCGCGACGCTCCAGCTTAAGCCGTCCCCCTCTTCCCTCTGGCCTGTCCAGGTACCCCAGCCTCGGGCTCGTTTCTTCGAGACGTGTCGCTGCCTGCCAACTGCGGCCAGCCACGAGAACGGCCCTTTTCCTTAATCTCTGGACAGGGTTCGGGTTTCCACTAGTTTCCTGCAGGGATGGGCGAGTGGGCGGGCAGCCAGCCATTCTGAATAAGCAAGCTCGGCCACTGCGACTGAGGCAAGAACGCAGGTGTTGTCCTGAAGGGGCCTCTAGTGTACTCTTTTTACCCTGATGATACCAAGGTCATAAGGGGAAGAGTCTCTATCCAAGAGTCATACGGCTAGTAGACCGCACCCGGCATGTACGCAGTCCTGGGTGCTACTACAGCCCGGGAGTCTGGCGCACCGGGTGGTAATCACCGCACAATCTCGCCTTTTGCGCCTCTGGCTTCCCCGCCACTGTCGACTCACTGCTCCAGGGAGGCAGGGTCCACCGCTGAGCTTCCATCTCCAGGACCTGGGTGGGAAGGGGGGCCTTCGGTCCCTGCTGGCACCAGACTCAACCCTGACAACCCCACCTGCGGGACGCCCTCGCCTCCCCGCCTTCCCTCCCACCCCGCATCGCGCACCAGCCCCACCCCCCGAGACTGCCGGCGCTCCCAGCCCCTTACGCCTCTGGCGAAACCCGTCCCACCTCAAGCGACTGCCGGCGCCAGCGCCCATGCGCACCCCTTTCCGCCCTTGCGGGGTCGGCCGCTCACGCCCGCTCTGGGCGGGTCCTGAAGTGGTGGCAGGGCTCCTCCTCCTCCCGCCGCTCCTCCTCTTTCTCCTTTCTATCTGTACCTACCCTTGGGGCGCTGTCGCGCAAACTGTGCTCCTCTGGGTTCCCTCCATTCGCTCCCAGCAATGGTGGCCAGGCGCTCGGTGTTCCTCTTCTGCTTAGCTTTTTTCTTGGTCACTCTGGTCCAGAGAGGTAAGGTGAGCGGGGCGCGGGGGGACCTCTCATCCCCGGGGGCCCGTTAGGCGGAGGCTTGGTGCATTGGAGGCCCCCGTCCTGCGCATGAGTGGCGTGGTGCCTGCCAGACGGGCCTACGCCGGAGATAGTTTGGCGGGCGGTGAGGCCAACCCCTGGCCCGCGGTGGGATCCAGGTGGCTGGCGAAGAGGTCCAGCTTAGGTGGCTGGAAACAGCGGGAATAGTACCCTCTTAAAATCCTGAACAAGGTGACAAAAGGTGACAGCAGCTGCCCCTCCCCCCAGGGGATTGCTTTTGGGAAATCTTTTATTTTTAGAGGGAGGGGGAAGGGAGGGATGAGAGACAGACAGAAACGGAGAAACATTAATGTGTGGTGGGCCTGCAACCCAGGCATATGCCCTGACTGGGAATCCAACCGGCGACCCCTTGGTTCGCAGGCCGGTGCTCAATCCACAGGGCGCTTTTGGGAAACCTTTAAGAGAACACTCATTTCTTTTAGCGGGGCTTCTCAAAATGTGTTTTTAGGCCACCTGAGACAGAAGCACCTGGAGAGCTTCCTGGGCGCATTCCCGTCCCTTCTGTCACGATCTCTGCAGGGACCGCGACGTGTAGGTCTGACCAGCTCCCAAGGTGCTTCTGGGTGACCGCCCTAGTTTTTGAGCCATTGGCGATATTTTGGCAAGGACGAGGAGGGAGAAATTCTGCTGAATCAAGGGAGCAAGTTTCCTAGATCCTGGCTACTCAAGATGTGGCCCAAGGCCCGCACAGCATCACCTGAAACTTGTCAGGAGTGCAGCATCTCAGCCTGGCCCCTGATCTACTGAGTCGGATTCTTCATTTTAACTAGATCCCCAGGTAATTAGCATTCAAGTTTGAGAAGCATCTTCTTAGAATAAATGCAATCTGTGGTTAAAAATAGGGTCTCCCATGTGTACTGGCAGAGTCTTCATAGGGTTATTTATATCCCATCTTCACATCAAAAAAGGCAGTAGGGGCGTGTTGAAGAAAAACACTGCAACTGAGCACAGCCTTGTGCTCTGACCTTCCTGAAAACAAAGGCAAATTCAGCTAATGAAAAACAAATGAGCTCAGCAAAAATAAAGCTGTCCTAGTACTGACTTCCAGTGAGATTTATGTTACGTATAAGGAGCACTGAAAACAATAGACAGTGCTATAGCCAAGGCAGTTTTGTAAAAGATGCAAAAATGTTGCTGAGGTGGGTAACCCTCCTGGAGTTGGTATAACATGCCAGAAAGGTGTCAGGCTCTGTTCTAGACACTGGTGGTGCAGCAGTGAACAGAACTGAGACTCTGTGCTCATGGAGCTGATATCCTGGTTGGGGGGAGGGGATGAAAACAAGTACAAACATGGCACTCTACATAGATATTGTTAGTGCTATGAAGAAAAGTAAAACAAATTACAAGGTTGTGGAATTTTCTGTTTTATTTTTCCTTTTGAGCTTAAAATTTTAATTCTGTATATGATGCATTTGTGGGGGGGAGTATAATCATTTAATTGACTTGCATCTAATGATGTGGAAAATTTGAATGTGGAAGCACAAAAAAGTTAGGAAAATGATATTCCTTTCAAGGCTATCTTCTGAAAGTCTTCAACATAGTATATACATTGATAAGGTGAGGAATGTAAATTATTGTCTCAGTTTTTCACCATCACATGTTACACTAGGTGATTTAGAAGATGGTGGAAGAAACTGTGAACTGGTGAAACCATTTTACAGATGTGTAAATGGAGGCACAGAGAGATGAAGTAACTTGCCTCAGGTGGCAAAGCTAAGATTTGATCCTGGGCTTGTCTGACTTCACAGTCCTTGCTTTCAAGCACTAAACATATATATGCCCTTACCCCTGGAAGTTGCCCTCCTTCTACTGCTTACTGGCTGAGTGGCCTTGGGAAAGTTCTCTGAACCTTGGTCAGTTTGCTCATCTGTATAACACCTTACAACGCACAAAGGTTTCTTCTGGAGGGGACCAGGCAAGTGTCACTCTCAGATCTGCAGCCCTATCACCAACTACCAACTCCTGAGTGCTTGCTATGTGTCAGGCACATCACATTTATTGTTTTTAATTACCACACCAATGTTGCTGGTTAGGCATTATCCTTGCCTTCCAGTTGAGGGACCTCTGGTGAATAGCTTGAAAGTGAGAGCACCAGGATTCCATCCAGATAAGGCTGCCACCCAGTGGCCTTTTTTATTTTAATTAAGAAGGCAGAACCAGAAGAAGCTTTTGCTTCAAGGTAGGGACCCAGTTTTCTGGATCTTTCGTGCAAAATACAATGATCAATATGGATTTTGCATTGATGGTCTTCCTCTAGGTATGTGGGCAGTTACAGTTTCAGAGTGGCTGTGTCAAAATGAACAAAAAAAATAAACACAAAGTAGGTGCTAAGTTAGGCACCTGCTGGCTCTCCTGGAGCCCTGAAGTGGTAGAGTGGGTGGGCCTGCCCAAGAACCACTTCATTGTTGTCCTGTTCCTCAGCAGTGAGATGTGACTGAGAAAGCCTGGCCGGCCTCAGAAAGCTCACACAACCTCAAAGCATGACGTGTGAGATCCCTCCAGATGCTGTCAAGTTGAGACAGACGTTAGGCTCTAAGGAGTTTAAAAGGGTTGTTAATAGGTCATCCCTGTTCCAATTATAGATGGGTTTTTAATCCACTGTGTATTTTACTAGTTCTGAAAACTCTGAGGACAGGTCTTCAGCTTGTATGCAGCCACAGAAATTGGAAGCTGTTCTTCTGAGCAGCAGGGAGGTGCAGGTGGGTAGACATCATAACAAGGGCTCCGTTTCCCCAGTGTGTTCCATACACCAGGCCCTCCAGTGCCTCACACACATCTCCCCATTATAACTGCCCTAAATGGTTGGCACAGTGACCCCCTTCATCTCCCGAGGCCTATAATGGCCATTTGCCTACAGCCTTGAAACTAACTGAGTCTTGTTCCACATCTCAGATGAAAGATGTGTGGTCCAGTGAAGTTAAGGAATTGAACTCAGGTTTATCTGAATAACCGAAGCAGGGGGCATGAATGCAAATACTTCCAGGGGTGAGATATGTCTTAGAATGTGAGAAGTGGCTGCTCCTTTAAAGAGGTAGCCCGGCTGACAAGGGACGGTGCAGGCTTTGGAGCAAGCCTGCCCAGTGCTACCACAACCTGGGGCAAGTCACTTAACTGCACAGTGCCTTGGTTTCCTCATCTGTAAAATGGTGATAACCACACCATCCATCTCATGGGATTGTTAGTATTACATGAGTGCAGTGGATAAAGTGCTTAGCAGAGCACCTGGATCCAAGTGAGCTTTATGTTAGTAATTATTATTTACATTACCTAAGCTATTCTAAGCCACATTAAAAAAAATATATACGGTGCCAACCTCGAAAACATTATACTAAGTAAAAGAAGGCAGCCAAAAAAATCCACATATTGTGTGATTCCACTTATATAAAATGTCCAGTTGGCAAATCCCTAGGGATAGAAAGTAAATCAGTATTTGGCAGGAACTGAGAGGATTGGAGAGTGATTGCTTAATAGGTACAGGGTTTCCTTGTGAGGGATGGAAATGTTTTGAACTGGATAGAGGTGATGGTTGCACAACCTTGTGAATATACTAAGAGCCACTGAGTTACACACTTTAGAAGGGTGAGCTTTATGGTATGTGAATTATATTTCCATTAAAAAATTCACTGTAGTCCAAGCAGAGCAAATGAAGGAGATGGCACTATGTAACCCCCTGAGTTTGGATTGGTTTTCAAGAGCCGTTGGACTTGGTCTGGCAGTGGAGAGAGCAAAGCAGAGCAGGCCCCAAGTGCTGATGGCACTGAGATGCCAGGCTGGGATCCAGGCAGAAGCCCTGTGGGCTGGCAGGCTATTGGGTATAAGCCAGATGGACTGCAGGGTCACCTGCAGGTTTGGCCAGAGCTGCTTAATCCCATTTGCCTGAGTTCTGGAATTGCCCCCTGGAAAGGAACATTTTGGGTGGGGTGGGGGGATCTTCCCTTTTCTGGATGGCTCAGGGTTGCCATTATGTACCCCAGGCAGTCATTGCATTGGACTGAAATGGTCTAGGGACTGTTTCCCTTTAAGTCTCTTCTGTTTTGGTTTTTGGCTCCTTTCTTACTGTCACAGGTCCAATCCCTATTTCCTCCATCATTTTGGACATCAAGTAACCAATAAAACATGTGAGTTTTTGAAACGGCAATGCAGAAATCACCAAAGAGTCAGTGCCAGTAGGCAGTGAGGAAAGGCCTGTAGCTGCCACCAGTGGAGACGATGAAGAGGCTGTCTGGCTGCTCAGAGGGGAGTGTGGAGAAGAGGGGGTTTTGATTTTTGTGAGTTCAGGAAAGATACCATCCAGGTGCACTGACTTTCCTGTTCTGGGTTCTTTCCCCACCTCTGTTGGTGCATTCCCTGCTGCCTGTCCATTCTTTTTCTGCACTTGGCATGCATTTCAGCATGTATTTGTTTGATGCTCTTAGTGTGCCTGGGGAGGCCTGGCTGCAGGGGTTCCTGCCCCCCAACCCAGACTTGACCTTCCTTGAAGCTTGATCACAGGTCCACTGACTAGCTCATCTTGGTTTGCATGTGAAAGCTTAAAGTCATCCTAAATGCCTCACAAACGTGCAGGAAAGTCTTTCATGCAGGTGCCAAATGGAGGCAGGTGGAAATAATAACAACAACAACAACAACAACAACAACAACAACAACCCGCAGAGATGTCCATGTCCTCATCTCTGGAAACTGTAACTATATTAGGTTACATAGTAAAGGGGAATTAAGGTAGCAGATGGCATTTAGGTAATTCATCAACTGGCCTTAAAATAAGATTCTCCTGGATTATCCTGGCCAGTTAAAGAATAGGGTCCTTTAAATATGGAAGACGAAGGTAGTGGAGTCAGGATCAGTGATGCTATGCAGGAAAAGTTTGGCTAGTCTTTGCTGGCTCTGAAAATGGAAGAGGCCTCCAGCCAAGGAAAGCACATAGA